GTCAGTTGACTGAGACACGGGGGAAGGGGGGGTGTTATTCCTACTGTGGATCCACCTATCTCCGCTTCGTTTCTTCCTAGTAGCGTAAAACAAACGAACCCAGGAAGCGTTTGCGGAACTGGCGTGTCTGTCATGTCTAAACATTGCTGCTGATCGGGGAAGTGGGTCTTGGTAAGTATTTAAACTCCGTTTTGTGTTCCTTGTTTTACATTACTCGGGTATTTAAAACTAACACAAGAGTGTTGAGCTTGCGCGGACCTGCTGCTGCTGTTCAGATCTTCGGTTCAGTTCTTACGGTGAATCATCCTGCAAGTCATTAGAAATGTTCTCAACGGTCTTTAAACTCTTTTATCTTGCTGATTTGATATTTTCAGGTCTTACCTTTAATGGGGATAGGTACTCATGCACATGTAACCTGCAGCGTTTATTTACAGTGTTGTGCAAAAGTCTTGAGCCACACATCGTTTATTGTGCTAGGCGAATGGGATGTGATTTATGTGCAAACATAATCAGAAGCACAGTGTACAGACTTAAAAGTCAATATTTGGTATGACAACGTTTATTTTTCCACACAGCTGAACTCTCTGAGGCCGCTTGCTTTGTTATTTATTTAAGTGGTCTTCAAAAACAGGCTTCTTGAAGGGTGTTTGCCTTTCATTCCGTTTGTGAAGATGATCACACACTGCTTCAATAACGCTGAGATTTGGGCTCCAGGGAGGCCAATCCATGATGGATGGATGTGTACCATTATATTTGTTTCCATCAAGGTACGCCTTTACTGCATTCACAGTGTTTTTGGGATCATTGCCACAATTAAATATTTAGCTGTTATCAATCAGAAGCTCTCCAGATGGACAAACTGCATTCATAATTCAGTTTTGACAATCATCAACACCACCATGCCTCCACTGTGTTTTCCACATGGCTGTAGTTAGTCACTGTTGTACTTTGATTCTGACCTTTTCTTTACGTATTGAAAAAAAATCGAACCAAAAAAATTCAAATGTGGATTTTTCACTCCACTGGTTTTCAGTCCAGTTATTGTGTATGTTGGCATACCTCAGCCTTTGCTCTCTGTTTCATTTACTAAACAACGGCTTCTTCCATGCTTCCACCGAGGCTGTTTCAGATGGTTTCAGTGAACCATAGCTGGATCAGACTGAACGTCCTGGGTCTTTGATGGATTTTTTTTTGTCTTATTTCATGACTCTCATCTGGTATTGATACATTTTATTTTATTTTATTTTATTTTATTTTTTTTGGGTGTGGGGGGGTCTGTCACTACTACTTTAGCTCTCACCTGTCCAGTTTCCTTAATTTTTTTTAATGACACACATACATGGACTGTAAGTATTGTTATTTTTGTTGTTCTTTTGTTGTTGTTGTTGTTGTTGTTGTTGTTGTTGGTTGGTTGGTTGTTTGTTTCTTTTGGAGGTTTTTTTCTTCTCTTTTCTTTAAAAATTATTTCTTTTTGTTTTTTTGGGTATCTTGTGGTTTTATTGCTTTCTTACTGCCATATTTTCAAGATGTTTAAAGTGTTGGATATTTATGAATATAAAATCCAATAAATATATGTTTACAAAGAAAAACTTTGTAAACATATATTTACAAAGTTTTTCTTTGTACCTTTAGAAGGCTGGAGAACTATTGCTCAAGACCACTTTACAGTAACAACAAACTCTGGGCATTTGTAACCAAAATACAAAGAAATCAGGGGTGAATCAAGACTTTTGCACAGTAGTGGAGTTGTTCATTTTCCCGTAATTTCTCTAAATGGATATATTTAGGTCCGGGGTAAACCTGCATTTTTTTCTAATGGCCATCAGGGGTGATCCCTGTTATCCCTGAATCCTCCTCCTCCTCCTATATGTTATAACTTTGTTTAATCTCTTCAAATATGTTGACCAATTTTTTTTTTGATTTTTGTGTAATCTTCCTGACAGACACCAGTATTCAAATAAAAGTGGGAGCAAGACTACAGAACTATAACAGATTCTTGCAGTCATAGCATAGCGATTGCTGTTTTTGAACTCCTAATTAAAACACATGAGAACAAAGAAGCTACGTAATGTGAAATGTAAAGCTGTATGTTACATTCACACACACACACACATATATAAATTTACTCACCCTAAGGAAAGTTGTGTAAAATACTAAGATAGTTGCCTTTTTTTTTTTCCAAAATCTGACACAGTCAGGATGAAGCATGAAGATTTGTTGTGTAACTGCAGAAAATGTTTCAGTGTTCGGTGTAAAAGAAATAATAACAGAAATAATCCTGCTACCTTCATTACAAGTTAACTGGATTATAAAATGAAAACAGTTACTGATTATAATCCCTAACAGAAAGATATCCAAAGTCAACTCAACAAGCTATGGGATTTGAGTTTTAACCCACACAGGTGTTGTCACTTAAAGCTGCACAGGCGTGGGCCAGGATAGTGGAAATTATGTGATCGATCACACACACACAGCTATATTAATGAAATATACAAAGGCTGTTTTTCTTTTTAACAAAACTGGAAGCGTGAGAGATCAGTGGAAAGTTCAACTGTTACCTGTAAAACTGGTAATACTTGAACCTCTGGAGACAATACGTAGGCTAAAAACAACATAGCATGGTTAGGGTACCTGTTCTGATCACTGTAAATTTGGTTATATTTAACATTGTTAGCATGTATATGTGCTTCATTCTAGGGGTGGGCGATATAAATTGTAAATTTTAGTCATTCTAAGTGGCAGAAAGGAGGATTATCACAGTCAATAATTTCCTCTAACTGAACTGCACATTTTAATTGAACCCTGTTGTAGATGATATTTCAGGGCTTCTGACCACCTTTTTCAGCGCTACATACTCTTTAATAAACATTTGAATATGTGTGGCGCTCAGAGCATCAATCATATTGAATTTTAGTACTCTCACTCTCATTGTTACTCTCACATGTGCTCCAACTCTGCCACCAGGCTAACATTTGTACATAATAAATAAGAAAATCTAATTTGGACGTTGAGTCAGTCTCCATACACTTCCATGTTAAAACGCCTCACAGCACTGGAAACAATACTTAGTCTTTGATAACTCATCTGCCTAGATCAGGGGTCGGCAACCCGCGGCCCCGGAGCCGCATGCGGCTCTTTAGTCTTTATTTTGCGGCTC